CGGGAGGGAACTTGTTTTCCTTTTCATATTATTTTTCTTCCTTACGACTAATCTCCTACACCATATCCTGAGGTATCTCAGGCGATGGGGCGTGGGGATGCTCGTGACTCTTTTTCAGGCATTTCAGCAAAAAGTAATTAATCTTGAATCTACCCCAATAAAAAATCCAAGCGCGTTGTGAGGGGGTGATGTGTTGGTTTTCTAATTTGATCCGTTTTCCCACTACCACCCCAAAGAATGAAAGGTATTTTTGAAAAAAACGGGGGGGGGGGTGGGGGGGGTATTAAAGGACTCTCATACCAGAGCATCTCTTGAAAAGAAAGTCGGTCAGTGGTTCTGTTTCCCGGGCGGGGGGGGGGGGGCAGCACCCGGGTAAGACTAGACGGCAAAGGCAGATTCAAAGGGGTGAGACATGGGTTGATTCTGGCAATAATTGTGTTTCAATTTCTAATCATTTCGTGTTTTTTGTATGTAAAAAAATCGAATAACCTCGAGGATAACGAGGGAGTTATTTGGTATCACATAAGAATAAATACGAGATGTTGTGTTCGCGCCATAGTGTTCAGAGTGCATCATATCTAGCATAATAAAATAAAATATGAAGCTGCCACGGAAAAAAAGAAATTACCCCCCCCCCTCCAATTCACAAAATGTTCAAATTTAATCTTCTCTTTTGATATGATCGGTAGATCTATAACGGATCACAGCAGACGAACACATTTCAAATTAATTCATGTAATTTTGAAGATACACACGATTGGATGCCATTTTTGCTGCCATTCTGGATCAAAGAAATTTACATGGCTTTGCTAAGGCTGAATGGAACATTTTTCTGCAAGAGAAACCTATTCGGACGTAACTCAAATGTGAACCTCAAGTATGTGACCTACTGCACCATGTAGGCAAGAATAATAATAATAATAATAATAATAATAATAATAATAATAATAATAAAAAAACAAACAAAACAATAATAATATTAATAATAATATTAATAATAATAATAATAATAATAATAATAATAATAATAATAATAATAATAATAATAATGATAATAATAATAATACTAATAAGAATAATAATAATAGTAACAACAGTAATAATAATGATAATAATATATTGTTAGTTAATAAACCGATCGATTCAGAGACAGGTGGCTTGATGGAGTTTGAGATGGACAGATGATAGAGGAATAAAAAGGTAGATGGAAAGAAGGAATGATTGACAAATAGATCAAGAGAAATGCAAATAAACGTAGACAGATAGAAAAATAACTAGCTAGATAGATCCAAAGATTTAAAAAAGACACATTACAAGGTGCTACCTCTGTTTCTCTTATGCTTGCTATGCTCTAGTTCCATGGTATTTTTCAGCGTCAAACCAATTCGACATCCACCGGTTTTATAGGTTTCTCATTTTATCAATGAACTTCAATAATCTGAAATGTCCTCGAGGTACGTTTGTCCCAAAACCGAGAACCAACCATGTCAAGAAAAAGAGGAAAATAAATAATAATTGTTTTTCGAAGGCATGACCTCCTGATTTACCCGTCGTCCCCTTTTTTTCTTTTTCCTTCCTTGGATCGTGCACTGAATGGGAATAAAGGTTTTTTTTCTTCCAAAAACAGACAAATGTCAAGCCAACTAGTAAACAAACAAAGACAACAGCAACAACAAAAACAAAAAAGCCCTCAATAAAAATAAACAGAAAAGCAAATCCAAACTAAAAACAGAACAATCCAAAATCAACAAAAATATAAAGGACGCAAAAATTCCCCATCAACCTCCAAACAGACAAGAAGCCCTTAAACAAACATATCCCCATCTAAACTCTGTCAGCTAGTTGAAATCTCATCCCCCCTTTTCTCTCTCTCTCTCTCTCTCTCTCTCTCTCTCTCTCTCTCTCTCTCTCTCTCTCTCCATCTCTCTCTCTCCCCATCTCTCTCTCTTTCTTTCTCTCTCACCCCCCCTCTCCCCCTCTCCCCTTTCTCCCACTCCCCGCATCCTATTTGGGTGCCGACAAACCATCTCTAGTTTCGGACGAATGCAGACAAATGCCATTCGTTCTTAAACGTAGTTTGTGATCAGTATAGCGGGGCGGTTGGG